GTCACTAACCCTACAATTTACAATAACAAAAAAAAGTTACACTTTTAAAATGTGGTAATAATTGACAGTTTAAAACTGTTGCAAAATTGTAGAATTTTTTTTACAATTCCCCATCTCCCCTTTCTTCACTTTCGATTGAGCTTAGTTTAGAGAGAGGGCGAAGCGCCGGCCCCGTAAGTCGTTGGGCGTAAGGTCCTTTGCGGCACTAAGCCCCCAGGTCAGAAGGGTCGACTGTCGATTGCGGATTGCGGCAGGGCCAAGGTGCGGATGGTCGTTTGCGGCGCGCGCGGGGAAAGCCAAGGAAAGAAAGAGACATTTCTCTCCGCACTCCAGCTCTTATGTCGATTGAGCCGCATGATAGCGGTAAATATGTAGTTAACACCAATATGAAATGACATGTGTCCGTTAGCTCTCGGAGGACTTTCAGGTCAGGTCCTCCAAAGCGTTGCACAGAGCGATAGTATATTTGCTTATTATTACAAACGGACATGAACACAAGCCACGACCACCAGCCGGTGAATAAATTTTATGTCGTTTGTTTCTTCATTAGCGATGGATCAGCTCCCGGACGACGTGGTGCTGCAGGTGTTTCGGCACGTGGACGTCGACGACCTCTTCAGGTGCCGCCTAGTGTGCAAGCGGCTCGGCGCCCTGGCCCTGCATCCCGTCGTGTGGCGGCACCAAAGTTTCCAAGCCTTCAACAGCGACCTCCGGAAGAAGCTGTGTCGGGTGCTGCGCCTGGCGCCGTGCCTGGACTACCTGTTCGTCCGTATGTCGTCAGAGGGCCACCACTTCCCGCTGTACGCCACGACCAGGTGCGCGGTGAAGCGGCTCGGCTTGAGGGTGCCCGAGGCCGGCAGCGTGCACGCGGCACTCATATTGCGAAACCAGGAGGCCCTCGGGCGGCTGAAGGTTGTCGATGTCGGGCTCAACAGTCCGCCCTTGGCCGACGCCACCATGATCCTCGGGACGTTGGCGTCGACGTCTGTCTTAGAAAAGGTCGCTGTCTGGTGGTGGTCTGGTTCTAGGAGAAGCGGACTCTCTGTAACGGGTACGTTACATTTTTAGTCAGTGAACCCTGCGTTGCCTTGGCCGGCCGCGCGGGGACTCACTTGGTACCCTCGCCATTGCCTTAGCCGGCCGTGGCGAGGCGCCTGGCGGGTAGGCAGCCCCAATACACATCGGTATTGCGGGCTGGCCTACCTTGCCCCTGTCAGCTGGGCAGCGCGCCGCGCGGCGGCGACGAGGTGCCTCTCGTTGCCGCCAGGTGACGCTACTCACGCTGCCCCTCCCTCTTCTCCCCGCGAGGTTTCCTGGTTGCTCCGGCGCCAGCTGATCGGTCTCTTTTGCACCTGACCTAAAACCGGCAACAACAGTAGTTTCCGTGGTTTGGCTGTCGTGCCTTGTTTTATCTTCCTGTTATTCTGCGCGTTGAGGGTCGTCACTCATTCACTCGCTGGAGTTGAGTTTGAATTGGTGTAGTGAGACGTTCGTCGAGTCGTCATGGCGTTGCCAGTCGATAAGACAGCGGTAATGGGCGGCTAAGGCCCTGTCGCACCCTCCTCCACGGGCTCCGCGCTGAACAACCACGAAATGTAACATCGGCGTCTCGCCTCCGGGCGAGACATAACCTCTACTGTCGTCTGCTGCTGCTGTCGGTCGTTGTACCATGACCATGTTCATCGTCGAGTCGTCGTCGTCGTCCTGGTGGTAGGTGAAGCGAGACCGGCAGGCTGTGGTTCGCGGCCTGCTTCGCGGATCCTACCCCAGTAGGCTGTTTGTGATTGTATTTAGTAATAGTAGGGTCCACACGCACTGATATTGAATGAATAAAGTTATTCCTTGTTATTTGGCGGAGTTACTTTACTCCTGGCGCTCACTCAAAAGTCAAATAACCTCGCCCCCTCTGCTGATATTACAATGAGTTTAGCCGGACACCACCTAGTGTAATGGGGAGCTATCAGGAAATGACATTACATCTCCAGCGTCCACACTTCTGTGTCCCGGCCGTCACTTAAGCACTTCCGGTGCCATCTCAGCTCAGAGTCGCAACCCTTCATCGACCTGGTGCTGGCAGGGCACGCCGCTACCCTGGAGGAGGTCCTTCTCGCATACAACAACGATTTCATCTGGACCTCGACGGGGTCTCTGCCCGCCTGTATGCCCAACCTCAGGGAGCTCACCTGCTCGCTGCTCCCCGGCTTGGAGTCCCTGGCCTCGTCGCTGACGAAGGTGACGCTGCACGTGTCACCCGACATGCGACCAGGACTGCTCGGCGCCACAGAGCTGCTCCGGCGCGCCCCCAAGCTCCGCGAGGTCGCCCTGAAGTACAGCCCCGCTGCGCGCAGCCCAGATGACGTCGGGGTCACTCTGGTCGAGGCGTTGGCGTGGTCGGGACGGTCAGCCGTGGAGGTGCTGGACATCGACAACGATTGCGAGAACGAGATGGATGGCGAAGAGGACGACGACGGGGTCGAGTTCCTCCCTCAGCTGCAGCCGCTGGTCAGAGCGCTACCCTCGCTGCCGGCCCTGAGGTACATCGAGCTGACTGTGTATGTCCCTCCGGACGAGCTGCTGCTGGCCATCACGCCGGAGACGGCGCCGGCCCTGCGGGAGCTCAGGCTGTATCCGATGAGGTGGCTGCCCGCTCGCTGCGCCCACGACTGGCTCCACAAGGACTCGGTGCAGACCCTGCTGTCGCTGAACCCTGCGCTCAAGTTTGTCGTGAACACGACACCGTACTGCCTCAAGAACGAGCGCTGTGGGTCCTGCGCGCAGGGCTGCCACAACACGCTGTGGGAATGGGATTGGGAATATGAGATATGGGAAGATGAGGACGCTCACAGATCAGAATTTAAAGAATTGATGCATATTCGATAAACTACTACCATAAGTTGTTTGCTACCCTAATTATATTTAACTTTTTGTAGCTAAGTGGGTTTGATTGTATGATGGGTTATGGGTTACGGTTCATTAATGAGGGACATTTTTCTGAAAATATGCAATTACTACAGCTACCTGCTTTCTCTCATTTCATGGGATTCCTCCCTATACCTTGAATCTTAATTTTGATTTGTATGTTTAATTGCAAATGAACAGCAATAATAAAATTTTATTTTTTTGTATGGGCCAATTTATCTTCTTTATCCAGTAGGCCCCTAGATTAATGATGAAGGAGGCTGCCTGAACTGGAGCTCCCGCGCCGCGTTTGGCATCATGCAGAAAGTACGTCCGTTGTGGAAGCTCTCTTAGCGCCGGATGGGTAGGCAACATCTCGCCTGCATTGCATGCGAGTACTGCGGGTTGGCCTACCCCGAGTCTCGCAGGCGCCGAGCTCCCGCGTCGAGTCGAATGAATCTGAGACAAACGCGGACGTACTTTCCGGACGATCCCTTTCGTGGACCGACCGCAATCTGGTCACACCACGCGCGCCCACTCGCCATATGTCGTTCGCCGGCACGAAAGTCTTACACGTATGTGTTCTGCAGAGACGAGGCGGACCAGGGCGGCCGGCCTTCAAGCACTTCAAATGCAGCGCCAAGGCGGGGTCGGTGCCCTTTCGTCAACTTCGTGCTGACCGTTCACGCCACCACCCTGCAGGTGGTGGACCTCGGCCACGAGGCCTGCTGCCCGACCGCGACCTCGACGGTGGCCCTGCTCGCCGGCCTGCCCCACCTCCGCGAGCTGACTTGCCCCCTGCTCCCGGACATGGAGGCCCTGGCGGGGTCCGAGTCCCTGGGGCTGTTGACCCTCCACGTGGCGGACGCGATGCGACCCGCCGCCCCCGCGGCCGTCAGGTACCTGCGCCGCGCCCGCCAACTCCAGAACGTCACCCTGAGGTACAGGTCCGCGACTCGCTTCCCCGTCGACGTCGGCGTCGACCTGGTCGAAGCGCTGGCGTGGTCGGGCCTCAACCGCGTGGAGGCCCTCTGCATCCACCACGAGTACGACCCGGACGCCACTCGGGCTGACGGCGAAGACGCCCGCCTGCCCGACCCTGGGCCGCTGATCAGGTCGCTGCCGTCACTGACAACCCTGCGCACGCTGCGCCTCGACGTGTTCGAGACCCCCGGGGCGCTGCTGCTGGCCGTCACGCCGGACGCGGCCCCGGCCCTGCGGGCCCTGTACCTGAACCCGTCGCCGCGGCGGATGGTGGGGCTGCCGCCGTGCGCCCACGCCTGGAGGCACGAGGACGCGGTCCAGGCGTTCCTCGCGGCCAACCGCTCCGTCGGGCTCCACGTCGCCGCCACGCCCTACTGCTTCAAGGACCAGCGCTGCCCCGCGTGCGCCCTGGGCTGGCTAGCCTGCCACGGCGATCTGTGGCCCTGGGATTGGGAGCTCAAGTCGGCGTCCAGCACCCACAGCCACCGGAGATGGGTGCATGTCCGCTGAGATGCTGCCCGTTCATTTTGCAAGCTTCGCATTGTGTATTGAAGAGTGGTAAATTTGTATTCTTGTAATTTTAAACTTTGTTTTAGATGTTTTGTTGCAAAAGAACAGTAATAAACACTGCGTAAGAATAATAAGCCAGTGTATATTTATATGCTCCATTAGCAAGCCATAGAGCCATGGTGAAAGGAGGCTGTTTTTCTTTTCTTTTTTTTTCGCCGATTCCTCCAAGGCAACAGCAACGCCGA